AGCCGCCGTAGCCGAAATTCGAACCCGCGCCCTGCAGGTCAGCAGCCGACTACCTTAGCCACTAGACCACCGCGGCGGGGCCACCTGCCGTCGGGGATTGCCGGGTGTTATATTTACCAACAATGCACTAAACTTCAAGAAGACTTTGAAGCAAATCGCATCCTTATCAACTATGTTATTTAACGGCAAATTTCAAGAATACTGCTCTCAAAGAAAGCTCGAATGGAAGTTCATATCAGAAAAGGCAGCGTGGTGGGGAGGCTCCTGGGAAATAATGTTCGAGACAGTGAAGCCTACTCTACGGAAGATTCTTGGCTAGCAAAGGCTCACGTCTGAAAAGCTGACCACATTGCTATACGAGGTAGAAGCCGTGGTAAAATCGAGGCCCCTCACATTCTCATCATCGTTAACAGAAAAAATTGAAGCACTGACACCAGTTCATTTTTTGACTGGTAAAATAGTCACTATTATTTCTTACAACCAACAAGAAGTCAACCTTTCAAGCTCGAAAGCCTCACTTACAAGAAAATGCATGCGTCGCGCACGGTTAATTGAATACTTTTGGAGAAGATGGAGAAAAGAGTATCTGCTGAGCCTCCATTCTGCGCACCATGCCGATTCGAACCATCTTAAAGAAGGGGAGCTAGTGCTCGTCTTTGAAGATAAAACACCGCGGCAGCTTTGGTGTACTGGAAGGATCATAGAGCTACACCAAGAACCGGATGGGATCGGCAGAGCCCGTTCAGTGAAGCTAGCCAACAAATTTGTCACACGAAGAGGTGTCCAGCATATCTACCCAATTGAGCTTTCACTGTCTTAGAAGACTTCAACTATGCGCCTTTTCAGGGGTGGAGAATGTTGATTATTTCTTTAGAGCGCAAAGGCGCGAGCCTGAGCATTGACACACAGAAAAGAAGACGAAGAACAACTACAGCGCTCACCAGGAACACTAAGGCAGTAATTAGTCTGTGCCGCAAATATATTCTTTAAGCCTTAACTGGCGTGGTTTATTCTACAGCACTATCACATATTCAGACGTAATTTCCCGTACCCACACTCTCGAGTGCCCAGTCATGAATTTACAAATGCTGCAAACCGGTAATAACCCATCGCCTTTGGTTGACAATAAGTTTATTGACAGTGTTAGGCCTCACTGCCCTTATTGCGAAGAGAGACGGTGCACGTTATTCCACATGCTTTGGCAATGCACGGCGCTGCATACAGTCTCTCAGTATAGAGGATACCTGGAAGACTGCAACCACCAGCTAGTACCGTGAGGTCCGAACTCGGGCTGCCCAGAGCACCCGCAGTTTGGAGGAAGGACATCCCCTTCCTGTCCCAACGTGTGGCCCGCAGCCAACCCACACCCTTAGGGGCACCGGCTGCTCAGAACAATCCATGAGTGAAAATCGTTTCCTGACGGACTTACTCACGTACGCTCTGTGGCGTAGTGGTTAGCGCAGTGTGCTGAGAAGCTAGAGGTTGCTGGTTCGGTATCTGGCAACAGATGCTTGCCTTCTGATTTTTTTTGCAATCTGTAAGTATGTGTTTTTTAACGTGACTTCTGTAACAGATGTACGTCAGCGGAGCCATTGTGGACCCCGGCATAAAGCACTTTCATCAAAATTATTTTGTGCAGGGTCCACCAAGACTTTAGTGACGTATTTTAGGCATGCGTATGTCGTAGATAAAGTTAACTCAGCCAAATCAGAAAGAAAAAAAATGAGCTGATCCCACGTGCAGCGTGAATCGATGATATGCGAAGCACGAATAAGAAAGGTTGATATGTCTTTTTAAAGTCAGTAGGACGTTACGCGGTGGAGGTAAATGATGCCGTACATCACTTCCGTGTTATGATTATCATGTTTGGATGTGTCGTTTACCTTCGTCACCTATTCACGTCACGTGGTACCCAATTTAGTATATGTGGAGCTAGCGAAATGGCAGTGTGCACGCTATGAGCGTGGTATGTTGACATGTTCTTACATGACACGCGTGTCCGGATTATCATGTTTGCACCAGTCATATGCTTTTGTCATCCATTGACGCCACGTAACACCAAAGTTAGTATATGTGGAGCTTGCAAAACGGCCACGAGTGCATCATAAAGGGCCCAATATACTCCGATGTAGCATGACGCGCGCGCATATTGGGCAGAGCGACGCTGCGTTAGCAAAACGCGAGCACCCTATAGTCCGACGCCAGATGCGACCGGCACGAACTTCATCCGTCGGCGCAGGCCGACGGCAACCAGCACGAAACACGACATGCTGCATTTCGCGCCGATGCGTTACCCAGACAACACTGCGTCTCCCTCTTTTCGTGACGAAGGGACACCGGACGCACTGAAACGCGCATGCGTCAAAGCAACGCAACGCGCCGCGCGCCTGCGAGTTTATGGCAAGCCTGGCGCCAGGCGTGGCGACACCAACGTGACGCGACCAAACGAACACCGGGGAGCACGCGCACCATCTCACGTCTAAAAGTATTGGTGCGTTGACTGCGGCATGTAGTCATGTTCTCACTTGACACGCATGTCAAGATTTTAGGGGTGAAGCTCTTTAAAGCAGCACCCGTTGGTCCCTCGTAGTAGTGCGTAACATTATTACGCTTGACCTGGAAGGTGGTGCCATTGGGAGATTTCTCCTGTGGGTTGCTGAACAATAAAAAATTCGCAGCGTGCGCGTTAACTAAAAGCCGAATTCTCCTGCCTCTCCATCCCCATTAGCAGCCATGGGCATCTACATTGAGCACTGTCTGACAAGAAAGGGTTGCTACGTTGTACTCGCTGGGCGTAACCTCCTAGGTTTTAGAAAGGCTTCAGGAGCGATGGTCAGCAATGCCATGAACACAGTGAACTAGTATATACCATGAACTCGAGCTGGTTAAAGGTGGGAAGTAGACACAAAGCGCAAGCCGTAAGAAAGTTTGCGTGTGCCACCTCTCATTTAGTCCTTGGAATATCCGCTGGACGGCGGTGCTTGTATGTGCGGAATTTATGATGAAAAGATGCGAAATGATGGAACTTCGAGTGTTGACTAGATGGACGAATGGACGCACAGACAGATGCATTGACGGACGCATGGATGGCCGCGCGGATGGATGGGCGCATGGACGGACGCAGAGGCGGATGCATGAAAGAATGCAGGGATGGACGCATGGATGGACGTGCGGACGCACGAACAGACGCACATATGGACGGGAGAATGGACGCATGGACGGTCACACAGACGGACGCATGGTCGGACGAAAGCAAGAACGACTGGACGGACGGATTCTTCGACCCACTCTCCATCATTCACCCCGTGAATATGTTGCCATTTTTTATTTTAGTGTCTGTCGCTTGTGTTTGCCTAGCATCATGTCATACCACAACACTTTTGCAACATGCCATGTAAACGAAACTACCGCTGGAGCGGCAGGACCAGGAAATGTAAATTATGACATTCATGACATACATACTATGATTTTCATGTTATGACTAGTCAAATATGTTCTTCATACAGTCATATGTTATGCCATACCAAGTTTGGTATCCATACCATTATTGAAGCAGTCAGGAGAGTTAAAAGTTGTAGGCGGCTAGATAGATAAATAGATAGATACGCTGAAAGTCGCCGACGTTCGCTAAGAAATGCTTCGCATTTAAAAACTTCCCCTGTCGGGAATCAAGCCTCTGGCTCTCCAGCCCGTGACAGCAAGCACCCGATTCTCTACAAACCAAGCTCTGACAATGCGGATACGTAGAACTTTAAAATTCGTCTTATATATCATGCACATGCTCTCTCACGCGGTGCTCTTAGCTGTTTGAGTGGGATTTTGCAGATGTCTGTGAAGGGTAAAAAGATATAATGAGACAGGACACTTGCTAGCGCTGATAGAGATTGACTCTTCGGTTACACAGTTAAAGAATTACATCCGAGATTGCACGCCGGAAGGCGATTTTGGATGCATTGATTAAAGCGTTTCAATCAGAGCGAAGAACACAGACTTCGCATTGGGGAGTCACCAACGCAGTTATGTTATTCGCCTATCGCTTCGCGTTAGCGCGTGATGGCTCGTTGTTGGAGTATTGCGGCTTCCAATTGCGCCAACGGTGCTGTGCCGCCGACTACTTTGCGAGCAAGAACACCAATCAGCAAAACTGATGCAGTAAGCACTGCAATAAGGCAGCCATGTTAAAAGGCGAGTGTCGCGCCTAGATGGAGCGAGAGAGAAGCCAGTTGGATGTAGAAAGTCTGTGTTCGTTTGGGGCTCAATCTAAGAACATCTACTTACCTTGTTGCTGAGTCACAGAGTGGTAGTGTATGCATGATCTCTGGCTCAGGTTACCCTAGTACTCAAGAACACACACCAGGCGTGCTTCTCTCCTAATTGATGACACCATAAAGACGCGTTTATTGAGTACCAGTGTTTATTATGTCTAATTTTATGCCAAATTTGCATGACAGGAACGGTGCGTGGTGCCCACGTATGCGGTGACACCTGAAGCTGCCACAGTGGCTTAATCATTATCACGAGCATTATTCGTCACAATTCAGATATGCCACTATGCGTTAACAATGGCGTATCCACGTCCAGTGATACTTTAGCTCCCAAACACCAAGAGAATTTCCAAGCTCTCATTTATCACTACACAACAAGTACTGCTTTTGTGAAAATGCGTTTCACTTTCCTGTTATGCAGATTCCTAAGACAAGGGTTGAAACGTTTTCTAAATAGATTTCACAAGCATCAATAGACTATAGAATTTCGTGGTCTAGATTCCACAGTGTTTCCACAGCCTACTATCTTGAAATTGAAGGTGACAGTGATTTCAAGAGGTGTTGGAGATAGCTGTTCCTGGTGAAGAACCAACGCATAATTTTGTTTTGCCTTATCCACGTAAACAAAGTAGGTCCAAAATTAGTTAGTTCATTTTTGAACACCGTTAATGAAAGTCTTTAAGGCTGTACAAATGCAAACTTTTTTGTGAATATTCTTCTTTTTCATGTCTTTAGTTGTGAACGGCTCGGGGACGCTATGCGTGAACCGCACTTTAAACCCCGAGCTATGCAAATGTAAGACGCCATTGGACGTTGCAAAAGCCCATTCACAAAGCCTAGGTAAGACATACAACATCTCACTATTTTGCTTTTTGTGAAACTATAAAAGCATTGCCTTCAGATTGCAAAGCATGCTGTTATGTCTAGGTTGCTGCGCGCCCTCTGATATTACTCTTTTGGTAGCGTTGTGAGGCCAAATTCATTATTAACACTAACCAATTGTTTAAATTCTCGAAACATTGAGGTGGTGTACGCCAATCATTCACCTGAGCTCTCCGTGTACTTTTTAAATCAGGGAAAAGCTAGCTTGAAAGAACGTTATAACTTGTATCCGAAAGGAGCCGGCACATAGTTGCCGAGAGTTTGAGCCATATTGAAAAATGTGGTGGACGACAAGTGCGAACTGACTGGTAGTTCTGAAACTAGGAATTCCTGGATCACAGTTTTAGCTATGTTGACGGGCATTTCAGCCAGGGTAAAAAATCAGTTATAGAATTTAGACATTGACTAGAGTCTCATCCGCCCTCTAAGTCCAGCTTGCAATTAGGTTTCCAATAACCTTCAACGGCACATTGGTGCACTCCTTGAAACAATGAGCCTAACCATGTATTTTTGAAGGGCGACTTTAGTCACTGTCGAGACAACGAGGGGGCGTTGAGACGAGCGGACGTCTACGCATCGGCTGCGCCTTCTGCTATACCTCTTGCTGGTCTGCTGAGTTCAATATTCATACGCAACAGCCGGCACAGCCTGTCTGGAAGAAAGAGAAAGACGACGTTGGTGGCTGGTTGTTGATGAACTGTCGCCATCTTGTTCGCCGAGCACAGTGCATCGTATTTAATTTATTAAATAAGTTACCCGTAACATTATTGGTGGAGGTGCGGGGTAAGAGGCCCATAGCGTGCCGGCAGAGCCCGGTGATTGCGGCAGTGGCGAGCAATATGACCGACACGACGGCAGTTGAAGCATATGGGCTTGTCGTCCAGTGTACGCCATTCGGACAAATTGCGCTGTTGAGAGTAGTTGGAACCAAATCGAGGAGCGGATGGACGACGATAAAACGGCTCGGCCGAGTAGACTGGTTGAATGGGGTGTAGGCCGACGTTCGATAATTCTTGACGAACGACGGCTTGTATCAGTGAGATAGTGGTCGGTGAAGGATCAGGCGTTGGAAATGGAGTAGCTACTGGTTGGGCTGCCTCGACCTCACGACGAATGATGCGGGTGAGGTTGTCACATCGGGGAACTGGGCGGACGGCGTCATCACAAGAGGAAGTAGCAGCTGTGTTCGGCAGACGCGTGATGCCGTGGGTGACGCGGCGTGCTTTAGCCTGTTCTAGACGGCGGCATTCTGTCAGGATCGTGTCCATGCTAGTGACATTATTAAAAACCAGCAGGTTGAAGGCATCGTCAGCAATCCCTTTGAGGACATGGTTAACTTTTTCTTCTTCTGACATGCGCTGATCGACCTTGCTACAAAGCGCCAAGACGTCAAAAATGTATGAGACGTACGATTCAGTAGACGTCTGGGCGCGAGTGGCGAGAGTCTTTTTCCCAGCTCACGACTCTCCTTACAACACCGCCGATTTTAGCCCATTTCGATCCATCAGCTCCCACCGAGGTTCGCACTGACGCTAGTGGGCATGGCATCGGGGCAATACTAATGCAACAACAACGCGGACATGACCGTGTTATAGCATATGCAAGCCGCCTGCTATCTACAGCCGAGCGCAACTATTCAATCACGGAACGTGAGTGTCTCGCTCTCGTGTGGGCAGTCGCCAAGTTTCGCCCATACTTATACGGGCGTCCATTCCGGGTAGTCACCGACCATCACGCGCTCTGCTGGCTGGCCTCACTCAAGGATCCCACAGGACGCCTCTTTCGTTGGTCCCTACGATTGCAAGAATACACGTTCACCGTAACGTACAAAACAGGGCGGTCACACCAAGATGCTGATTGCTTATCACGCTACCCTGTGGAAGAGGCTGCCCATACTGACACCTTTCCAGACCTTCTGTCTGTGACACAGCTACTCAACCTTGGTCACGAACAACGCCTGGATGCTTCCCTGCGAACCATTATTGGCAAGCTTGAGTCAAGGCCTCGCGACGCATCTCTACAAATGTTCCTGGTAAAAGACGGCATCCTGTATCGCCGTAACCTCGATCCATATGGCCATGACTTGCTTCCCGTCATACCAGCACATCTTCGTGCGACTGTTCTCAACCAACTTCATGACGCTCCTTTGGCGGGCCACTTGGGCGTCTCTCGCACATACGACCGCGTACGTCGTCGTTTCTTTTGGCCTGGTCTTGCCCGCTCTGTTCGACGCTACGTCGCCGCTTGTGAACCCTGCCAGCGCCGCAAAAAGCCATCTTCCCTACCAGCTGGATTCCTTCAGCCGATTGACATTCCCATTGAACCTTTTTTTTGAGTTGGCCTCGACCTGCTTGGCCCATTCCCGATCTACAGCTCAGGCAGCGAATGGATCGCCGTCGCCACTGACTATGCGACACGGTACGCTATCACACGAGCACTTCCGACGAGTTGCGCAACCGATGTGGCGGACTTTCTGGTATATGATATTATTTTAGTACACGGAGCTCCACGCCAACTTCTCACTGACCGGAGCCGCACCTTCCTATCAGCTGTCGTTGATGAAATCCTGCGCTCTTGCTCTGCCAAGCACAAGTTTGCCACTTCGTACCATCCGCAAACGAACGGTCTTACGGAGCGCCTCAACCGCACCATAACCGACATGCTTTCTAAATATGTAGCGGCCGGCCACCAGGACTGGGACGTTCATTTGCCATTTGTGACGTTCGCATATAATTCCTCACGTCACGACACTGCCGGCTATTCACCATTCTACCTTTTATACGGCCGAGAACCCGCCCTACCATTTGACACCTTGCTGCCCTCGGTCACTGAGTATGCCGGCGAAGCCATCGCGCGAGCCGACCACGCACGCCAACTCGCCCGCAGCCGCCTGCAGGCTTCACAGGAGCACCAAAGACAGCTCTACGATTCCCATCATCGAAACGTGCACTTTTCACCAGGTTCCCTTGTCCTCCTCTGGTCCCCCACTCGGCGTGTAGGGCTTTCTGAAAAACTGCTGTCAGCTACACTGGACCATACCGCGTCGTTCGCCAGGTGACTGACGTTACATACGAGATCGTTCCAGCCGATTCAACGTCATCATCGTCACCTTCGAGTGACATTGTGCACATTGCTCGACTCAAGCCCTATCATGCTCCTTCTACCGCATCCGAGTTGCTCAAGCACCGAGACGGTGCTTCTACTACCGGGGGGTTATGATACGCCACAGCCGGCACAGCCTGTCTGGAAGAAAGAGAAAGACGACGTTGGTGGCTGGTTGTTGATGAACTGTCGCCATCTTGTTCGCCGAGCACAGTGCATCGTATTTAATTTATTAAATAAGTTACCCGTAACATTATTTCCTAATTTTTCACCAACGTTTTTGCTAAGTTTAAAGGAACACCCGGATACCACTTTTTGCCCGGACCACCCCACTTCTCTCTTTTTCCAACCAACATTTTGCCTTCACTCGCTAAGCCTCGAGTAGGCTCATAACGACTATGACTCTTGCGCCGGCGCGTCTCGCCCCTGCGCCGTCATCATGCCCGAAGCTATGGTGGATGGAGAAACGATCACTGAAAACGAAGCCAGCGCACCTTGCTGAATTGACGCAATCTGACGCCGAGCAAAGTCTTCAACTACTACCACCGGCAAGCCAGCCAGCGGCCGTGCTGGCGCCCTGCGAACCGGAGCTGTGTCGAAGGTTGCAGCCACCAGCCGACTCTCCCCACTCCCAAAGGATCACCACCGTGTCATCGTCTGCCCAGGAGGTGGGCCGGATGTACGTAGGTGCAACAAACCTAATTCTTGCAAGCTGTAATACTCGCTGCTTGACTCCCGCAACGGCGGCAGAGGAAGATATTGTTTGCACTAACGACACGCAGAATATCTTTTTGATCAGCACGCCAAATATAAAAACAACCGAAGCGTATGCCATAGTACGAGGAATTATTATAATGGAGCAAGAAATCCATTATCCGCTTACGTAACGGCATCTCAGCCCACCAGCCGAGGCGTATTTCGAAGGGTCGACGCTGACCTTCCAGACTCAGAGCTACAACGCCTGTTCATCTCATCACATAACCCCACGTTAATGGCGGTACGACGAATCAAGGAAACAACCACTATCATCCTTCTCCAACTATGTGCGCTGCGGCATGCTCCTGCAGCGTTGCACACTCTACAAGCGACAGATCGACACTTGTCGCAACTGCGGCCGCATTGGGCATTGACAAGACGTCTGCACTACCCCATCTGAGAGAGTCTGTGATCACTGCCGTATCCAACCCACCGGACCTGACCATGAGTGTGTGACACCCAAGTGCGCTTTGTGCGGCCAGGCCCACATTACGGGCGACCGCACATGCCCAAATCATGCTCATGCCCAATTTGGCACATGGTGAAATGCCCGCACATGCCCAAGTCCCTTACGTCGTTCGACGTCGACGCCGTTGCAGACGCCGGCATAACAACAACCAACAAACCCAAGGAGATTTGGCCATGCAATAGTCGACGCCGAAGCAACCAGCCCCGACTCCACCGACGAAGCACCTGCCTACCACCACCAAAAACCCGACTGAAACGCCTACTTGGGCCGATCGAATCACCGGTAAAAGTGAGACTCGCGGTTATGCGCGGTCGGGTAATTCGCCACAGCATGAAAACGATGAGATTCGTGAGCTCAAACGCGAGCTAGCGTTGCTGAGAAAAGAAAACGAAGAATTCAAAGCACTCATTAGAAACATGCAGCAGGCGAGTGAACGCGCTGTCAAGACGCTGACGCCCGCCGCTCCGGCCGTTGAACACGCTTCCACTAACTCGTTGAACGCTAATCGCGCTGCGAAGCGTCGCGCGGACGGGGACCCCCCGGAAGAGCCCATTACTATGCCTTATTTCATGAAGGCACTTACTCGCATACGCGCAGACATTGCAGTACACCGCGTTGC